CCTTCTCTGTCTTCCTGCATCAGTTCACACGTTCTTTGTTTCATATCCTACACATGGTATCTCATTGGTGCTGGAGAAAAGCGCCTTTCACTCTGGGAGCTGAAGTCACCCCCAGGCCTCAGCTTCACTGAGACTCTGCTCAGTGCCCATCAACCTTTCTGTGCATCCCATTCCCAACACGGATTCTTCCAATGTTATTAGATTGAATGGTGTTTCCCAGAAAGATATGTTGACGTTCTAAGCCCTAGTACTGGGAAACATGGTCTTATTTGGAAACATGATTTTGAAGATTTGTCTGTTAACAAGAGGTCATAATGAAGCAGGCCAGGTCATAATCTCATCTGTTTGGTACCTTAGAAAAGAGAAGAGACAGAGAGAGGCAGAGATGTGAGATGGAGTCATGCTGCAGCTGTAAGCCAAGGAATGCCTGGAGCTACCAGAGCTAGGAGAGACAAGAAAGTATCTTCTTTAGAGCCTCTGGGCTGCCTGGTTCTTCTGACACCATGAATTTGGACAACTTGGCTGTGAAAGAGTATATTTTTATTTTATAAGCCTCGATTATGGTACTTTGTTACATTACAGCAGTCCTGGAAAAATAATACCTGTGGCTCTGCCAAGAGTCTTCTTGCAAACTTCCCTCATTCTCTGCAAGAAGGCTGCTCTCCTTCACTGAGAAGGAGCAGGCATGAGACAGAATATCCCTTAACATCTCATTTTCTGACCTCTGCTTCCTCTTCGGGGCAGACACTTCCAACTGCACCCTGGGTCTCATCTTCTATCACTTCTCCCAACTTTGTTCTTCCCTTCTTTCTTCCATGTTTTCTACCATCCCTTTAGTTTCTGCTTTCAGCCTATAAATATGTTCAATTCTGTTCTATTAAAAAAGGAAACAAAACTCCAAAATACTTCTTTGATGCCACCTCCTCCCATAACTTCTGGTCTATCTGACCATGCCCCCTTTAAAGCCATTCTCCTCAGAAAGGGCTATATTTTCTCATTCCCTGCTCCAATTAGTCTTTCTCCATTCCAGACTCATTCACTGCAGCTGGCTTTCAGACCCACCACCTCTCAGAATTGCTCTGGCCACAGGCGCAAGGCCATGTTGTTGCTCACTTTGGGTTTTCCCCTCCATGAACCTCCTGGGGGCAGTTGTTACTGTCAGCCCACCTCTCTTTGTAGGAATCCTGTGCCCTCCAATTTTCTTCCTGCTTCCTCTGTACCTCCCTTTAGAACTTCCTGTTCCCTCCGTTCCCCAAATGCTGAGGTTCTACAGGCTCCACTCCAGATCCTCTGCTTTCCTCTCTCTGTGTGTCTTCTCTCCAGGCATCTCATACACACACATCTTCAACTGTTCCAGGGACTTAGTCAACTCCTATATTCCTATCTTCAGACCAGACCTCTCACCTGAGTCGAAGGGAGACGAAAGAAAGAGGAAAGGAATGTTCAGATGATTTGAGGGTCTGTTAGTGGGCCCTACCCAGAGCTGGATCTTTAGCTGGCAAGGGACTAGCTCTGAATTTGAAGGCTGAATCCACACAGATGATGGAGCTTTTCTGCCCCATTAGCCCTTGGCAACCAGACTAGTCCTGGTAGCCTGCCCTCCTCATTAACATACGACTCTTATCAAAACAACTATGAGATATCATCTCACCCCAGTCAGAATAGCAAAATTTAACAGAACAGCAAGCAACAAATGCTGGCGAGGTTGTGGAGAAACTGGAACCCATATTCACTGTTGGTGGGAGTGTAAAATGGTGCACTGTGGAAAGCTGTATGGCGCTTTCTCAAAAAGTTGCAAATAGAGATACCGTTTGACCCAGCAATTCCACTACTGGGAATATATCCCAAAGACACCATAACTGACATCCACGCAGATATATGCACACCCATGTTTATTGCGGTTCTGTTCACAATAGCAAGGAGTTGGAAACAACCCAGGTGCCCATCAACAAACGAATGGATAGAGAAGCTGTGGTAGAGTCACACAATGGAATACTATGCTGCATTGAAAAACAAGGAACTCATGCAACATTATTCAAAATGGGTGAGCCTGGAGGACATTATGCTGAGTGAAATATCTCAGATGCAAAAGGACAAATATTGCATGGTGCCACTGTTGTAAAATGGGACTGATATCAGGGTTGGGGTAAGACTGAGGAAAAACTGGATAAATTGTGTATACTGCACTGAAACAGATGAGGGAGTGAATAATTTAAAAGCAATGTATGATAGGGTCTTATGGTTATCAGAAGAGGTTGGAGGAGTCAGGGGGATTGTGTCCCAGGGAAGGAGTGTTTCTTTTACTTTTGAAACAGAGGAGCGAACTGAAGGGGGGTGGAGAATGGATGGGGAGAGAAGTTCAGCAATGAATGAATGGAAATCCAAAATCTCTGTAAATGCTCATTAAAATTATTTAAAAAAAAACAAAAAAATAGTGTATATAACATGACAGAGTCTAGAGAGCTTTATGCTAAGTAAACAGTTCATTCTTATAAGGACAAAAACAAAACATAAGACTCTTGGTGAGGTTTGGAGCTGCTCAGAAGTCCCAGATCTACTGTCTGCCCTGGTTAGCACTGAAATACTAACAGAGACAGTAGGCCCACAGGACCCCAGGATCCCCTTACACTCTAATGCTAAGTTGGCTGTGTCCTTTCTCCCCCTAGACTCTTCACCCATGCTTGCTCCCTTGCTCTGTGGCTTAGAAGCAGCTCTATTATCCTCCCCTTCCATCACTGTCACAGCAGCCCCTTCCTTGCAGTGGACTCCTCCACTCGGGCCCTGTCACCTCATATGTTCTATTCCTTTAATTTGGCTCCTTCCTCAACATGTCAATTGTCTTTGTGTCTCATCCACAACAGCTTTCCTCACAGGCTTTCCCTGGGTTAAACGATTATTCTGATTCCAACTTTGCTGCACTCCAGCCTCTTGCCCCAGCCCACTTCCTCTTCATCCCTGACCTTAAAATGACTGAAGCCAAAAGGAATCCTTTGTCTGGAAAGGAAAATTGATGGACACACGTCAAGATTTGCTATAGCTGGATGACATCTGTACTTTGCTCCTCATCATAGAGATACCAATATCCTCCTTACACCCCAGCCCCGATCCCTTCTACTTCCTCACCAAGTAAGTTTGATATGGTGGCAGCCCCGACTAAGCTCTGCCAGCTGCCTAATTTGCAAAATGAAAATGCAAGGCTCTCTGTTAAAAAAATTACTAAAAATATCAAGACAGTAAGAGCAGAGCAATGAATCCCACTGCCGGGCTTTGAAGTGCAGGGCCCTGTCCACACAGCTGGCTCTACTCACACTCTTTCCAGGCTAGCAATGGCCCCTCTCCTTCTCTCAGCTGCTTTTTTGGGACAACTTCTCAGGATCTCGGGGTAAGAGTCCTGCCCCAGCCATCTCCAGAAGCCCAGAGCACAGTTCTGCAGGCACTCAACAGATTCCTCTATCCCCTGCTGAGCTGTCATTCCACACAGAGCTTCTGAACTGTGGTTAACTTCCTTCCTTCTGAAATCAGTGCCTTTTATTGAGACCACCTAGCTGAGCCTGAAAAAGGGAGGACAAATTGCTACTCTATTACTAAACAAAACTCCCCAGTTTCCTTCCAATCCGTTTTGATTCATGCAACCCTGTATGTGTCAGAGAACCGTGTATGTTCCATGGGATTTTTAAAGGCTGGTCTTTAGACCACCAAGTCTTTATTCCCACGAACCTCTGGTTGAACTGAAATTGCCATAAGGACGTATAGCCTGAAACCTAATGGGGTCGTTCTGCTATGTCCTATATGGCTGCTCTGAGTCAGAATCATCTCAACAGCAATGAATGGGTGGTGTGGGGAGACTTGAACAAGAGCAGGGCCAAAGAAAGAGCCTGTGGGTTTAGAGAAGACTATCACCCTGTTAAGAAAAATTAATTTCACCAAAACGGTAACCGAAAGATGGACTTTAACGCAACAGAAGAGGCAACGTGCATTTTAGGAAGAAGGCACAGTATAGGTGAAGCTTAGAGACAGGAAGAGATGACAGGTTGTAGAATTCTGAGTATGTCATTCGGTAGAATGGAATAGCTGACAAATCTGCTTTGGAACATTGTAATGAGACTTTGAAGTGTCCGTATTCCCTCGGATCAGATGAGGAGACTTTAGGGATGTTGTCTATTTGGGAGCAAAGTCTTCCTCTATTTAATCCTCTCAGCCTGCCCACACAGTGCAAAGTTACACGGGTTTCTGTAAAATAGTCCGCATCTGCCCGGAGTTCTGGAGTTCACACAGCCCATCATTTCTGGCCCACGGTTAAGTCTCTCACACAATCCACCTTTCCTGACCCACAGTTAGTCTGTTGTTATAGACAGAAAGAAAACGGGCTCATGCTCCTTTTGGTTCTGAAAACACAGCTAAGAGAGTGCAATCTCGTACAATCCTTGGTTCTGCACCCAGCAGTGCCCAGGTTAATCTGGGAGAGTGGGAGCGGTTTGGGACTTTCCCGCCTTTGGCATTCATTGATCCTGCAGGCGTGCTCTGTGTGTGTGTTGAGGGTAGAGGTACGAGGTACAGGATAGGATCCTCCACTCCCAGTGGAGGGGAATGGTCTGAACCCCCTCGGAAGGCATGGCTAGGAGCGGGGAAACAACACCTTTCTTGTCCCTATAACAGATCTCCCTTGATTTTTTTTTTAAATGGATACTTTCAAGCATAATGAAAAAGGAAAGAAAACAGTATTATGATTCCCACGGGCCCCAGGGCCCGGTTTCCACAATTATCCATTCCTGGCCATTTTGTTTCATGGAGTCCTCTCCTATCTCACTATAAAGCAGGATGTGGGTGGCCCGGGGATGGCAGAGGGCGCGGACAGGGCGGCTGTGAGGGGCTGGAGAAGGCTGAAGCGCCGAGAAGCACAGTGCAGGCGCAGCCAAGCAGGGAGCGGGGATCCCGTGGGGCCCGAACTGCGGGGGGCGGGGGCGGGGCCGGGGGCGGGGCGGGCGCCCGCCGGGTGACTCAAGGAGCGCGGGGCTGGGCGCGGAGGGCCAGTCTCCGCCTTGCAGCTCCGGTGCCCGCCGCGCTGCCGCTGTCTCTGCGTGAGCCTCCCTTCCTGCCGTGATCGCCACCATGCCCAACTTCGCCGGCACCTGGAAGATGCGCAGCAGTGAGAATTTCGATGAGCTACTCAAGGCATTGGGTAAGTTGGCACCGGTGGAGCGCTCCGACGCGAGGAAGTGGCCTGTGCCCGGGGCCAGGAGGGTGTGGTTGTTGGGGAACAGTCATAGGAAGGATTTTCTACAGCGATAGCTAGATGGGGCGCACTCCAAGGCGAGATCCATGCGCTAGGCGAACGCTGAGTGCTAGGTCCTTCCCCGACGGTTTAGCTTTTATGCAGCGCCAGATCGTTGTGAGGACAGATTAGCAGAATCTGAGGAAGCTCAAGGACTCTAAATCTGGAGACCTCATTAGAGATTGAATTCTGCCTTGAATTCTCTATGTAATTCAGGGAAAGTCGCTTATCCTCTCTGAACCCCAGTTTCCTATTTCAAAAATCAGGGAGAGGGCAAAAAGGAGTTGTTCCGTTTTGACATCCCGGGGTTTGGTAAAGTCTGCCCAAGGCCTTGTGAACGTGCCTGTGCTCACTCGCCTGTCCCTGAGCAGGTGTGAACGCCATGCTGAGGAAGGTGGCGGTGGCGGCTGCGTCCAAGCCGCACGTGGAGATCCGCCAGGACGGGGATCAGTTCTACATTAAGACGTCCACCACCGTGCGCACCACCGAGATCAACTTCAAGGTCGGAGAAGGCTTCGAGGAGGAGACGGTGGATGGACGCAAGTGCAGGGTGAGGCCCCGAGCACGGACAGCGTTACCGAGGCTCCGCTTTCTGCCCTCTACGAGTTGCAATCCCTGCTCCTTTGCAGCAACCGGGTGAAGCTGTAAATTGTTCTTTGCAGGCGGCGGCGCGCTTTCCTTGCAGGGTGCGCGTGCCGCTGTGTGCAGACGGTTTTGTGCAAAACAGCCCAGAGTGGCCTGGTGGGCTCTAGAGAAAGTCCTAACCAAACTCGTGTCTAAACTGCCTCGCGTAGCGCTAACTGCTAAACTCAAAGCGTGGTCTGTGGATCGCGCTGTGAACCCAGCTTGTGCTGCGCGCCCTCGGCGCTAGCAAGGACAGCTAGGGAGGAGGAACTGCAGGGGCTGCTGGGTTCCCAGGCTGCGGTGCTGTCACGTTTCCTGTCGCAGGTGGAGCAGCAGCTCCGGTGTCCCGCCCCACCGGGTGAGAGGGCCTCCTGGGAATACTCAGGATCCAGTTTCGGCAGTCCCAATGGCCCCAGCACCTCTCACTATTAGCTCTCAACCTGGTTCCTTAAAGGAACGTCGAGATCTTTTCAAATGTGAAGCAAAAATAGACTAAATAATGCCCCCTAGTTCTCAGAGGCAAGAGTTTTGTATTTCTTTGTATATTTGGCTCCAGGGATGAACAAATAGTCTGGAGCAAGGGATTGCACGTTCTTTTTTTTGGCATGAGCAAAAACTGGATTTGCTTGAGTCCTGAATTTGCAGGACAGATGGAAAAATTATCACTGCTGCTACCACTTGTTCAAAAAGTGGTAGAACATGTCTTCCTTAATTTTGCCAGTTTTTTTTTTAAAAAAAAAGAAATAATAACATCCCAGAGAGTGTGAAATGGTGTGTTTTTTGGTTTTTGGTTTTTTGGGGTGGTTTTTTTTTTTTCACCTTTCCTGAGTGTAATCTGCCTTAACTACAGATAGGGAATCTCTGGCTGGCCACTAGGCTTAGGAGAAGGACACAGAGAGAAAGCTCCCCTGGCGATGTCCTAAAACATGTGGTAATATTTGGCTATCAGAAGGGACAAACAGAAAATGATGTCCAGGCTTAGAAGGTGGTGGAGTCTGAGGTCCAAGTTACTGCATTGTTTGCAAAAACCAAAACACAGGACCACATAGTTAAACTGAGCCTTCAAATGGATCCACTCCTCCCTAGGGGTCTAAGGGGAAAGCTTTGGCAATAGGTAGGGGTCTCCCTGGAGGCATCTGCTACTTCCAGGAAGGGAGAATCTGATTTCAAAAAGAGAGCAAGCACAGTTTCACAGGGAAGCCTAGAGAACTGAACATTTTTAAATCCACCTCCATGCCCTCAGCCCCATCCACTTACCCTGCCTGATGAGCAACTCACCTTGTCTTAGTTATAAAGCAATTATGTGCATGTTAGTACTGGACCATTCAGTTTGATTGTTGCAAGGTGCTGCTCTGTGCAAAACTGGAAGAAAACCACAGGTAATCCCTTCTATTATTTCCCACCTCCCAGAATGACCTTTCAGATCAGTTTGATTATTTTTCCCCCTGCCCCCCCCCCAGGCCCCTGGAGGGAGAAACCTGGAAAGTGGTAGCATTTTTCTCTTCAGAGCCAAAGGTACTTAGGTTTGTCAGAGCAGGCTGTGGCCTGTGTTGGCTGAATGCAAACAGAAAAGAAGGCATTTTCCCGAAACAGCACCCAATGTGGTATCTTAACTGTTGTAAAATTTTGTAGTTCTGATGTGTGAAAGCTCTTGCCTTAAGAATCACTTGATTAATTTTAAGAGAAATGAATTATTGCATGCTCTAAATTTTATTCTTGGATATATAAAGCATATTAAAGGCTTTGCTTCTTTGTGGAGTTTGTATATACACAAGATATTGGTTTTCCCCCATAAAATTGGTGACCAGCTCTGAATTTGGACATTATAAAACTTAACAGATTCTGTGCCCCGCTGACTGGGACCATGTGTTGCTTCTCTGCACAGCAATTACTTTCAGGGTGCCCATTGTTGTCTCTACTCCCGCTGTGGAGACTGTAATTAATGTCACTAATGGTTTTCCTGCCCACAGAGTTTAGCCACTTGGGAGAATGAGAACAAGATTCACTGCACACAAACGCTCCTGGAAGGGGACGGTCCCAAAACCTACTGGACCCGTGAGCTGGCCAACAACGAGCTCATCCTGGTGAGAGCCCTTTGACCCTGAAGCAAGCCCCCGATTTTCCAGAAGGTGCCACTAATGCTGCAATCAAGCGTGTGATCTTTGTTTCCCTAGTCATTCCTACACATCATTGAATCTGGGTTAAAATTTGAACAGAAAACCAGAAAGGGCCTTGTAGGTCAGAAATGAAGACAGAGAAAGGACTACATACAGAGGCTAGTGTGCTTGCCACAATCCAAATAGATACATCCCAGTGGTGACTTCCTTTAAGCAAACCTTTCCGCCATTTGGGCTTAGAATGCCTGGACTACGTGGGGTCTCAGAATTCACACTACAGAAGAGATATTTTCCCTCTTCTAGTTCCTCATTTTGCTGGCTGGGAAAGGTTTCAGAAATTTCAGCACATCAACACTGTGAGCCTTTTGAGAACATGGTCTTAACCATCTCCGGTGGCCTTCTAAACCTAGTGAACTGCTAACCTAGGAAGTGTCTGAGAATAACACAGGGGAGGTGGGAAGCCTTCAAAAGTGGAAGGTATCAGCTCTAATGTAAAGATTTAAACATTTTAGATGCCCCTAGGCAAACAGTAGCTCCTGCTAAAGTCAAGTTAAAAACCATGGTAATGGTTCAAAACCACTAGCTGTTGGAAAGAAGAAAGATGGGCAGTATCACCACCCCATGAGGATTTATAGACCTGGAAACCAGATAAAGGGTCACTACAAGTCAGAGTAGTGTCACAGATGTGGAGAGTTTGGGATTTTAGCCCCAAAAGAGCCCTGGTGGTATTATCTTGGAATGCCTAGTTCCTCCAGCTGCTCCATTGGAAAGCAATGAAGCCAAAGACTTCCAGCTAGAAAAGATCAATGGAGGTTCCCGTGAGTCAGAATCAACTTGATGGCAGTGGGGTTTTGGTTTTGATCATTCAACTCCTAAAAAGTGTAGCCAGAGTGTTCCTTGGAGACAAGGATGGTGATGCATTGTCTCACATACTTTGGGCAGGTTGCTAAGAGAGGGTCTTCCTTGGAAAGGGACATGATGATTGGAAAGGGAGAAGGTCAGCAAAAGAGAAGAAGACCTTCAACCCGATGGATTGACACAGTGACTTGCAGCAATGGGCTCAGGTGTGTCAGAGATGACGAGGCTGGTACAGGAGAGGGCAGATCTGTTGTGCATAGGGTCGCTATGAGTCGTACTTGACTAGATGGCATCTAACAACAACTCTGCTACACATAGGCTCACCATCAGTCAGGATCGATTCAAAGACCACTCGCTGGGTTTGGGGAGTTTAATCATTCCTTTTAGGAATAAGGGGGAAAGACATTCCCCAGATCACTCTCCCTTTGCCTTTCAGAAGGTCCCCTGGTGGTTAGTAGTCAAAGCCCTTGACTGCTTGTTCTGCAGGTGAAAGATCTGACAGTTTGCTTCTGAATGATTTACAGCTTTGGAAACTGCAGGGGCAGTTTTACTCTGCCCTATAGGGCAGTAAAGAGGGCTCTGCTGGCCTAGTGGGTAGGGAGTTGCCTCGTCAAACTAAAGACAAGTGGTTCAAATCCACCAATAAGGGAGAAAAATGGGACATCTCCTACCTGTGCGATTTATAGTCTTTGAAAAACCTACTGGTGGGAAAGAGTTAAGTCAGTTCCAACTCAACACCAAAGAGTTGGTTTTGTTGTTTGGGTGTTGTTGGGGGTTTTTTTGTTTGTTTTTAAATAGAGCTCCTATAAGATGGGATCAATGTAAAGGCAGTGGATTTGTCATTAAGAGCAGGCCAAATTTACCTCTCAGACTAAGAAAATTTGTTGTGAAAAACCAAGAAATTACATCCTTTGTTCTCCATTAGACACCTTGTTAACGTTTCCCCTTTAAGCCTGCCAGCCTGTCGCATCTTAGTGAATACTCACACTGAAATAGAGATAAGAGGCCTGAGGTTTTGTAGGAAAGAATTCTCTGTGGGATCTGAACCTAGCCTGTCCTTTCCCAAACTTTCCCCCTCTGCAGTAAAATGAGGGGGTTGAGTTAACGCCTGATCCTCAACGTCCCTCTGAGCCCTGAAATTACATGTTTATTCTGCAAAAACAAAACCCATTACCATTGAGTCAATTGCAACTCAGCCACTCAGAATATGAATTATTCTGCAAGAAGCCCCTAAATTGAGCTGTGTCTGTTACCGTAACTGGGGCTGCTTGATTTCTCGCTCCTCTCGTTCTTGCCTGGAATGATTTAACGTGCTTTCTCCTTCCGCAGAGAAAGGACTGGCGTAATTTGCAACCTGGTTACCATCCTTTCCAGAGGAGAAATAGTTGAGGGGGGTGGGAGAGCAATTTGAGGCTGAGACGTGGAAATTTAGGAGAAAAAGGCGCATATGGTTCACTGTCTCCAGAGACGGCAAAAAGGGAGATGGTTTTTGAAGTTCTTGAGTGTAATGGAGGAATTTTAGTAAGATCAGTTCGCTCTGTGAGAAAGTGTGTGATTTTATTAACCTCTTTAGTACCCCAGCGCCGAAGTCATAGGCCAATTTCTGCTAGAAGAACTCAGCCACGTCCAAATCTCCCTCCCCCTCCAGCTACAGTTCCACCCGAACATCTTTCCCTGGCTCAGAGTGTGTATACGAGCCTCAAAGGGAGCATTAATTCTTGACATTTGGAATCTGAAATGCAGGCTTTTGTTTCAAGGATTATTGTCATTAATAAATCCAGAATTTAGGGAGATGCTATCTCCATATAACAAGAGGCAAATTAACCTCGTTAAGTTGAAATAAATTCTCCCTGCGCCAAGAGTAAATTGCCTCTGGGCTCTAAGTTGCCTTCCTTTGAAAACTGAGCCTACTCCCTCAAACCTCTCTGGAACAGTCTAAAGAGTTTCCTGCGGTAGATTCTATATGTGCATCATTAGCAGGGAACCTGTGAGACACAGCTTTTAAGATTTCAAGCATTCACCAAAACGCTGGAGGTTCAAGCCCTGAGAAGTGACTCAGGGAGAGAGACCTCGAAATCTGGTGCTATAAAAATTACAGCCTAGAAAACGGGATAGGGCAGTTGGGCTCTGTAACGTGGGGTCTCTATGAGCTGAAATCAGCTCCATGGTAGCTAATAATGACGATATGCATTGTTTCCAGGTGCGGTGAACCTATTTGCTTGCCTGGATAAAGTATTAGATAGCTATTATGGTAAAAGGTGGATTGACACCGTGACTGTAGCAATGGGCTTGAGCGTATCAAGATCATGAGGATGGTACAGGATAGGGCAGGGTTTAGATCTGTTTCATAGGGTTGCTTGTGAGTCATAATCGAGTTGAAGGCACTTAACAATAACAACAACAACAACATGGTGGCTACAGATGGGAAAAGAGTCCCAAACTTTAGCATTCCATCTGTACTCCACATAGCATTCTCCATGGCTCTGGAACTCAAAGATTATTGAAAACTGACATGATTCTGGGTCTAGAAATCTGAGAGGTGATATACACAGTACAACAACCATCATCACTTCATCCCCTCCGACCTCCCCCGAACACAGAGTCATCTGTATTTCTCACTAGCAGCAGAAAAGGTGTGTAGAAACAGGTGCAATTTCCTCAGTTTGCGTAGAAGTTCCCTAGCTCGAAAAGAAGCTGGTAGTAAACATTTGCTTCCTCAATAATTATGGATGACTCGAAGTACTTCCTTGAAACACGAGTGTTGGAAAAACATCCTAGCAAATGCTCTCTGAGAACATCTCATAACCAACAGAGAGTTCCAGGGGTCAGGATCTGAAGATCCTAGGGCACACAGCTCTCAGCCCATTGGTTTTAGACTCTCTTGAATCTCTAGCTAGCTGGAGGGTGGGAAAAATAAGGATACTCCTCCCCACCCTTTTGCATAAAAATGTATACCTGCAAACAAATATATTCACATCAGATTTATAGGCTGGGAATTGATGATTTTTTTTAGGGAGTCGAGTTAACACATGCTAGTTTTCCTTGTTCCAGCTACCAATGAGAAGCAAGTGTGTCAGTAATAGCTAGATTTTTGAAGAGATGAGACCCTTACCTATGGACCAGATCATTTCAGGAGCCAGCAGGAAAACATCCTCCTCTATCACTGCAATGAAGCATGCCTCCTCCCCCTAGTGAGGTGTCCATTCTCACCTTCCCCACAGCTGACAAACAAACCTATAGAATGTTCCCTGAAAAGAACCTTTGTGATCATCTCGTTCAAGTCCACGCTTCCCCAAAACTCCTTCTATTCCCAACAGGCCATGAGAATACTTACCCTGCTAGTGCAGCAGTTAAGTGCTCAGCTGCTAACCAAAAGGTTGATGGTTCAAAGCCACCCAGTGACGCCGGGGGAGAAAGACCTAAACAGCTACTCTTATAAACAGTACAGCCTAGAAAACTCTATGGGACACTTCTACTCTGTCACATGGGATTACTGTGAGTCAAAATCAACTCAATGGCACCTAAAAACATCATCTCTTGTGGACTAAAGAGCTTGGTCTAAGGCCAATGCTTTGCTTTTGCAGCTGAGACCAATTTTCTGGGCTTGCAGGTGATTTGATTATTTCCTAAACAAGGTCTGAGGCTGTCTCCAGCCTGGACAGCTGCTTCCTGGAAAGCAGCTCTGTCCCTTCTCTCCAGCAATCTCACTGCCTGGTGAGCTCTGGACAAAGTGACTCCAGCAGCCCAAGCCCCTTGCATTCTTGAATTCATTTGAAGAGAGACAGACCACTTTCAGAAATGTCCGATGTGACATTCTTCTGCTTTCACATTTAATTTCAAAACCAAAGACAGGCGACCAGCATCTCTGACATCAGACTTCACAAGTTCCAGAAGCAAAGGAAAATGGCATCTAGCATAAGTCTATACCCCTGCTGCTTCTCTCTGCCAATATGGAACTTAAGAGGAAAAAAACTACAATCTTGTGCTTGGCGTGAGTGAGCAGCGCTAAGTTGAATGTCTTTGACAAAAAGACAAATTTATAACAGGGCAGGAAACAAGCTTATTTGCGATATGCTTTAAACGTTTTCACACTGGCATCTGCACTGATTGGTTTTCCTTTTCCTCTCCTCTGCAGACATTCGGCGCTGATGATGTGGTCTGCACAAGGATTTATGTTCGAGAGTGAACGCGGCTGGCTTGCCCCCACACTGGACATGGGATGTGTGTTCCCCCAAGAATATGTCCTACGCCTGACCTGCTGGTCATCATTAGATGATCCCTGGTTCTTCCTCTGATTATGTTGTAGTGTTCCTCATCCCCAGACCTTCATGCCCTTCCTGTCCTTGGTGTTCTGTAGTTTGGCACTTGCATGATTTCATCAGTCATTAAAGTGAATGGACACATCTCAAGGCTCCTTTCTTTATTGGGGGGTCCTTTGAGCTTACTTTGTCCCTGCTATCCTGAGTCCTATGTTGGTCATTGTAACACTTTCACCTCCAACTGCTGACCTCGATGTGCTACTTTCAGCCTGAGTCAGGGATTGTAAACTGGGTTCCCTCAGACTGGATGCAGACCAAAGTACCAGGTGTATTTGGGTCCCAGTGTTAATAATTTTAAACCAGTCAGTTTGTATATGGATATTCTCAAAAGGAAAGAGGGGATGTTCAAAAGGGCCAAGGAGTGCACTTAATAAGGGATTATGTATACTGTTAGGGAGCTTGGGTAAGGAGGTGGTACGCATACTGGTAAGGAGTTGTACTGCAAACCCATAGGCACATGGTTTGAATCCAACCTCTCTACAGGGAGAAAGATGGGCAAATTCCCATGTAGTTTAAAGCCTCTGAAAAAACTGCTGGCTGGAGGGTCAGCTATGAGTCGGTTACAACTGGACAGTACATAACAACAGTGTACACCAGGATGAAAGCAACAAACAAAGACTGGTAAGGCAACCAGAGACTAGAAAAAGGGAAACCATTAGCACTCTGAGGACTGCAGACAGACTGGAAAGCAGGGTCACCAGAACGAAAGAGCTGAAGCCTTGGTCCAGCGCCAGGCTGCTGGAGTTGTGACAATGCACAGAGGAACACAGTCTGTGCCAAAACCATATTCCCAGCTGGCACATGTGGATTGGATGTAGCCTTAGCACAGGGGGTATAAATTCCCTGACTTCTCAACTTTCAATCACTCATCTACCTATTCTGTTATCAGCCAAATCCAACCGAAAGGAGGGAAAGGGAGTTGAGGGGCAGGGGCGTGCTGTCCCCCAGGGCAGGGTGGACACTGGATCTGAATACACAAATGCGCATTAACACTCACAGTTGCCAACTTTACAATTTGAAAACCATTTGTTCTAAACTAGATGTGGTGTTGGTTGCCAAATTCTAGGAACATTCAGAAAACCACTGGATTGCATGCTTTAAATGGGCGAATTGTATGTTAATTATGTCTCAATAGTTGTAATTTTTAAACAATAAAGGCATATAAGAAGCAGCCAGCTGAAATGCTGGAAAAGCTTGCAGTCCCAAAGGAAGAGCTGCAGGGCCTGAGCCACAGGACAGGTCTCTGGGCTCCAGTCCCCTGGAATCCTGTCTATCTCTTGCTCCATCTTGACTTATTTACATATTTGTCTTGGCTCATGGGACCACCACTGTGCTAATCACAGCATATGAAGGAGCAGAGCTCAATGCTTAGACAGGCCTGGATGGCCTTTCCTAATGTGAGGGGCTGAGTTTATTGGTTGTTATTAATGTGCCTTTGGGTTGGGTTTGACTCATAGCAACCCAGAACAACAGCTTTGAACCCTGCCCTATCTTGAGCCAATCTCACCATCTCTGACACACCTGACCCCATTACCACAACTACTGGGTCAGTTGATCTCATCCAGGGCCTTCCTCTCTTGCACTGACCTTCTCACCTTCCAAACATGGTGTCATTCTCCAAGCACTGGTCCCTCCTGACAATATGCCCAAAATATATGAATGAGATTTTAAAAATCTTTTTCTTAGCCGTACATGTTCATATCCTTGAAGATGTATCGTGGGGAGGTTGCAACCTAGAAGACACAAATTTAACTAACAAGTTATAAGTACATGAGTCAAAAATTATGGAAAAGTAAAAGAAAAGATTCTTTCATTGTTTTACAAACCCTTCCCCAGGTCCCCTCCACCATGGAGCCATCACTCTAGACTCCTGTGATGACAGAAATACCTAGTCACATATCTCTTTTAAGCAGTTTTCTCCCTCCTCTGTTTCAGTGCAATATACATTATTGAACCCATCTTACTCAGTCTCACCAACCCCGAGGTTAGTCCCATTCTACAACAGTGGCATCATGTAATATTTGTCCTTTTGTGACTGGGATATTTCACTCAGCATAATGTTCTCCAGAGTCAACCATTTTGAATAATATTGCATGAGTTCCTTGTTTTTCAATGCAGCATAGTATTCCATTGTGCGAATATACCACAGCTTCTCTAGCCATTCGTTTGTTGATGGGCACTTAGGTTGTTTCCAAATCCTTGCTATTGTGAACAAAGCTGCAATAAACATGGGTGTGCATATATCTGCTTGGATGTCAGCTATGGTCTCTTCAGGGTATATTCCCAGTAGTGGAATTGCTGGGTCAAATGGTATCTCTATTTGCAACTTTTTGAGAAAGCGCCATACTGCTTTCCACAGGGGTTGCACCATTTTACACTCCCACCAATAGTGAATCAGGGTTCCAGTTTCTCCAACAATTTCTCTAGGTTGCAACTCCCCCACGATACATCTTCAAGGATATGAACATGTACGGCTAAGAAAAAGATTTTTAAAATCTCATTCATATATTTTGGGCATATTGTCAGGAGGGACCAGTGCTTGGAGAATGACACCAGTTCAGTTTCTCTGAACATGTACGGCTAAGCACAATTAATAACAGTGCATCTAAACTCCAAAATCAATGTCCTTAATAGTCTATGTGTTTCCTACTGCCAAAGGGGCCCTTTAGAGTAGTGAGAGAAGATCTTCACCCTGAAACCCACAGCGTCCCTTTTCAGCAGAAAGTAGCTAAGAGAATACGCCATCCCCTTTTCCTTATGAATCAGGTGAAGTCTCTCTCATTGAGGAGTGATAGGGAATGGCAAAGGACACACTGACAAAGGAGATTAATCAGAACTGACTTTGACAAGCACTGTGGCAATTGGACAATTAAAACAGACATTCAGATGGCGGGGGAAGAAGAACAAACTGGGGAGGAGGGTAGAGAGAATGGTGCAGCAATGAAGGAATGAAAACCCAAAATCCCCGTAAATGTTCATTAAAACTAATAAAATTTAATAATAATAATAAAAAATCTTTTTCTTTAAAAAGTAACTTGGTTTTACCCTTTTCAGGATGGACGTGTTCTCTTAGCAAGCAGGTGGCAAACAACCAAGCAGGAGTCTGTTGGAGAAAGGGGAAATAGGAGGGAGGGAATGAGCAGGCATGGAATGCAGTAGTTATCATTCACCATGCTAGCTGGGAAACCTTTCATTCTTTAACTGCTTTCTTTCATTGTTGTCAGGTTGCAACCCACTAAGAACTGAGCATCTAGTGGGGTTTTAGAGACTGTCATTACATGGGGAGAGATTTCCTATCTTTCTCCCACAGAACAGTTGTTAGATTTGAACTGCCCACCTTTGGGTTGACAACACAACTCCCTACCACTAGGTCAACCAGAGCTCCCAATTTAATTACTAGGAGCAGGGGAGGGAACAACACAAACACACATGCAAAACTCAAACTCATGTCATCAAGTAGGAAGCAACTCAAAACTGCCCCTCCCATGGGTTTTGGATAGGTTATACACTGCAAAGAAAAAGACTGCCTATCTTTCTGCCATAGAGAAACGTCCAGAGAGGCTCCACCTTGGAGTTAGAAACAAAGCATTCTGTGTATGAGGCCAGGACAAGAACGTGTGGTTGGCTGGCTTGGTGTGGAGCTGCCTTAGTCGGTGCTTTAGTATATATAAAGCTCTGAAAGCTTTATATCTTCCTAAAAGGACTTTAAGAAGCCCTGATAATGTATGTGTAACATGTTGGGATGACAACCATAAGGTTGTCAGTTCAAATCCACCAGTCCTCCACAGGCGATGTCTCCTTTGTAAAGATTTGCAGCTTTAGAAACTCAGTGCTGGGTCCCTATGAGTCAGAACTGTCTCCACAGTACTCATTCTGTTCAGAACTGATTGATAATCCTCCAGCGGGTTTTAAGAGGCTCTAAACTTTACAGGAGATTGTCCATCTTTTTTCTGCAAAGTTGCTGGTCTTTATGTCAGCAACAACTCATTAGCCCCACAGCTGCCTCTATGGTGGTGCATTTTAAATGGACCTTGCCCTCTACCAGATGGCTTCTAACCCTGATTCCGCTTCTCTCAGCATCTCTGATTGTATACGTTACCCACATCTCTTCTCTGCCTGTCCCTCCCTCAGAGCCCTGGTGCACACAGAGCTTCTGTTGTGGTCCCATGTTGGTATTTCATATTCCCGAGGTTTCTGTCATATTCCATCAACCAGCCTGGGCGGTCCTTGAGGTCAGGAATGACTTCCACATCTCTGCATCCCCACAGGGCTTGGCATATGTGGGTACTCTGTAAACATGTGCTGATTGTCTGACTGATGGGGAGCCAAGAAAAGATCTAAGTGTTCCTGAAAAGAAAAGCAGACATTGAGGAAGCAAAAAAGAGTACTCAACTCAAACACAATCCAACAGCATCAGTGGCCTCAGGTGAAGTAATAGCATTATCTGTGCTATGCCAGTTCTAAGTCCTTGGATAAAGGTCATCATACTTGGAAAGATAGGGGGATGGCAAAAGAGAGGAAGAGCCTCAACCAAGTAGATTGACTTAGTGACTACAGCAATGGGCTTGAGTATGTCAGAGATTGTGAGGTTGGCACAGGATAGGACGAGGATCAGATCTGTTGTTGATAGGATTGCTATGAGCGATACTTGACGCTAGATATGGCACCTAACAACACAAGGGAGTTCTGGTGGCTTAGTGGTAGGAAACTGCACTGCAATCCTGAAGGCACGCAGTTCGAATCCACCAGCAGTTCTGTGGGAAAATGATGGGCAATCTCCTCCCATGTGATTAACTGCCTCTGAAAACCCGCTGGAGGGTCAGCTATGGGTTGGTTCTGACCTGACAGCACACAGCAACAACAACAC